CAGCCGCTCAATCAAAACAACCAGTTTCCGCTCGACCTCTGCTGGCACCGCCACCCCCGGCTTTAGAGGCAGCAAAAGCACACTGATGTCCTCACAAAGTCGGCTAGCCTCCTGTTCTTGTGCACTGTCACCACTGGGTTTATCCTCAGGGCTTGCCTCAACGATAACAACCTCAGGACTGATCAGCGGCACTACTTCCTCCTGCTGTGCAACCAGTACCTCCTCTGCACCCGGCTCGTGCTTGCCCCGCTGTTCAAAAACTTCGCACTGAACCTGTTGCTGAGACACCGTGGCTTCGACATGCTGTACACTGTCACGGGCTTTCGGTGCCTCATGACTGCTCAGGTCCTCAACCCGCTCCTGTGACCCCTGCTGGCCCCCCTTGAACTGTCCTGGCTCACAGGGCATCCCAGAACGAGTCGGCTCAAAACGCTCCCCACGAGGACTAGAAAAGCCCCGCCCAAAAGTCACGGTTACAAAACCCCCCACGGGCGCCTGCTGATCCCCCTCACTGGTCCAATCCCCCTCGCTGTCCCCCGCAACTGCCTCCCCTGACACAGCCACGTGCTCCACTTCTGCATCGGCAGCCGCTAAGTTGAAGAATTGAGGGCCGGACAGTGTGCAACAATCAAAGCAAGCCTCCCTCGGTTTCGCAAAACGTCTTGGCATTTGCCACTCCCCATCCACAGACCTCCCCAAGAAACTGGACATCCCCGAAGAAACAACCTCAGGCCTAAGACCCCTTTCCCGGCCTCTGCTCCGGTAGAGCTCGCAAAATGGCCAGCTGATCCACGCGTAATGGCATTGAAAACCTGCAGACGCTGCTGAAGGATCTGGTTTGTGCCCTGACAGAGGACTTCAAGTGCCTCTGTAACCCTCAGCACCAGACTCTCCACAGCACACGCGACCTGGCTGCGAGGGTTACCCCTGCTGCATGCTTTCGCCAGGCTCCTCACCTGTGCCCTCTTCCAGACGACGCTTTTTCACCTGTACTCCGAGGAGTGGCGGCTCAACAAGATGCTCCTTGACCTTGTTGCGCTGCGCTTCATCCAGCTGGAGTCCAGCCTTCTCCAGCGCCGCAAAGAATGCATCAAACGTTTGCACCTCCTCCGGCTTAGCTGGCGGCACATCTGACTCACTGAGCTTGCTCTGCAGCTGCTTCTGTAAGGCCTCTACCTCAGCTTGCTTGGTCTGCAACTTTTCAGTGAGGACCTGCATGCTACGGAGCAGTTCTTCATAGCTCTGCTTTGCCTTATCGATGCGTTCTTGCAAGGTAATTGACTGCTGCACTAGGTCCCTGAGCTGGCTGGTTTCCAACTTGAATTTCTTGCTCAGGTCAGACACCGCCTCTCCGTACGTGAGCTCCTGCTTGGGCTCCTGCACCAGCTTTTGGATGCTCTCTGGGAGTGACGCTAGGTGTTGCCGACAGGCCTCTTGCAGATCGTCTGCCTCCTTCTGTGGCGGCTTCACTCGCAGACCTTGTGCTGTGAGCTCTTCTTGCAGTTTCGCATCAAGGGAGCTCCAGTGCTTGTGGATGGCAGCTAGGACCCCCGCCTCTCCGCGGGATCCGCCTGACAGACCTGGTGGAGGTGTGGGCTTCTGTCTTCTCGGTTTAGGCTCCCGCCACTGCGCTGCCTGCCACAGGCTAGGCCAGCGCTGCTCGGCAACGGTCCTACCCCCTGCCGCAGCTACGGACTGACTCCAGGCTGTGCCACACTTACTACATGTGTGGTGCTTGGCTGCTCGGTCAGCCCATAACCACGCGCTGCATTTGGGGTGACAGCACACCACATATTGCCTAGGCATGTCTGCGAACTGTGTCCTTCGTTGGACCACGGACTGGGTAAGGTAGGTGAGTGCTGCAATTGAAAAGCCCGCGGCAATCGAGAAAACCACCCAAGGAAATCAAAATTCACGCGAGGCAATCAAATCAGCACAAGGCACCACTAAGGCTCTACGCAACTCACCGCTCAGACGATGAGCCCTTCCACAGGGTGGGAACTGCACACTACCCAGACGCTAGTGTCCGCCAGAGCCGAAAACTTGAGCCAAGCCAGTTTAAAGTCGGCTTCAATAAGGCTTCCAATACGATTCCCCAATACTGGGACGGTGTTTGAAGCCAGTTTAAAGTGGGCTTCAATGAGGCTTCAAATACGATTGCGCAATACTGGGACGGTACTTGAAGCCAGTTTGAAGTGTCGGCTTCAATAAGGCTTCAAATGCGATTCCCCAATACTGGGACGGGATTTGAAGCCGAGGAGACTTGGGATTTTAAAATTCTAAATGGACGA